GTGAATGTATGATTTTGTGCCTTTTCTTTCCGAAATCTTGTTTGTGTGTGCCATAAGTCTACATATTGTATCTACATATCAAATAAATTCAACATAAATTTCAGATTGTGCTTCTGTCGTCTGATTGTATTGAGGTGGTTGTTGGAGATTGAAGGCTAAAAGGGACGTGGTAAGACTCCTTTCCTGTTGGGCAATAGTTGGATTAAGATTTCTGTCTGCGTTTTTTTTTTCCTCTGGTATAACAACTTGCAATAGCAAGCATATATTTGCTAGCCTAAATGCAGTATTTACATTATATACAGCTTTTTAACAACTGTCTACAAACTTTTGCTCCCAATGACAGACTAGCTTGAGCTTCACACATTCTTTACTAGTTTGGATGAGGTCTTGTTTTACTGTAAAATGCCCTTTGGATAGGATAAACTTCCCCTCAGAAAAAGTTATTGGTGACTTCAGCATGGACTAGACTTTGAGTGACCTGCAGGTCAGAAGAGTCGCACAATAACAGCGGAATCCGTGCTAAATAGCAGGAAGAGCCGCCTGTCTGCTGCCTGAGATATCCGCCTTTTTTATTGTTTGTGGAGGAATAGTCACATGTGCCTGCTGCAAGGAAACCAGTCATATATCTGCCCCCAGAACAAGCAAATAATGCTGTTTCTAAAAGCGGAGATGGGCAGGCTCGCCCACACACCTCCTGTTAAGTGGCAGCTCACAGTGGTCTACAGTAGGCATGAATCCATCCATCCATGTGTCTCTCTCGCAGAGATGATGAAGGGACATGTCATGAGTGAGCCTGTGTCGCTTAAATAGACGAGGCAACAGATGAAGAGAAGAAATGGATCTCAAAGAGAGGCTCAAGACTTGACACAGCAGGACACTCAGGCATGATGCCGAGGGAAGACTTGTCGATCAGTGCTAAAAACTCTTTGTGATAGCCAGAACCACCAGCTTATTGCTTTCAACCCATAGGCAGGAGTAACAATATTCTGAAATGTGTCAAAATTAAATGAGGAGGCCTCCAAAACTAAGAAAAGAAACCCACTGTTTGTTGCACCACATTGCTGCAGCTCCTGCTACAAGATACTGTGGCGAGAGTGTCTGTTTTTAAAGGAAAAAGACGCAGTTAAGATTTAGCTCCAAGTCAGGTCCGCCCCTACCATGTTTGTGTGTGCAACCTTTGCCCGGGGCCAGATTTGCTCAGGGGCTGCAGGTTTTCTTGGAAAGGAAAGTTATTTCTGGCGGGTTGGTGTGATGTCACGAGTGTTTCCTCATCCTCCGGGCCTGGGTCAAGTTTAGCTCCAGAGATTTTCCTGAGTTATCCTGTTGTTCTGGGAAAGGTGTGGAGCCAACCGACAAGGAGAGAGGGTTAGGGCAGGGTAGGGGGGGGGGGGCTCTGTCGCATCCCTCCCCTTTATACAATGGTTCTTCTCTGGATGACAGATGCTGCTTAACCCACTCTGACCCAGGGAGTTGTGATGCCTCAGCTGAGTGACAGGCCCATAGAGAAGAACTATGCTCCATGTTGCCCAAACGGGTTCGTGGCCCCCCTTCTCCAACAAGGGAAGAAACAGTCTCTTTGGGCGACCCCCCATGGTAATATATGTCTATCTGAGAAACGCCATGAATTAAGGGTAGAGGAGGTTACCCACTTCTGCTATCTTGTCCCACTGAGTGAAATATGGAGACAAATTGAGTGCTAAATCACTACAGAGTAGAGTGGTATTGTGACATTGCTTGAAAGCCTGTTGACTGTCCATTGTCATGAAGTTGCCTCTGCAGCAGCAGCAGCTCTCAGCTGCATTTATCATCACTGGGGACAGAGGGGAGAGAGAGACCATGCCATCGGTTTGTCATACTTAACTTGTCTGTCTCCATCTGAGAAGACTGTAGTCAGAGCAGAAGCTGTATCACAGGGGGATTAGTATTTCGGTCAGATGGAACAATATCTTTATTTCTTTTTTGTGCTGTTGAGCTGCTCCTTGTTTCCAGTGTTGTTATTGGGTTTTGTGATACAAGAAGCCTTTATGAGTTGAGAAATGAACATGAATCATTATATTCCTAAGGGGCTTCACAGAGCAGTGATTGCCGCCTCGGCTAAAACAGTTTGATATGCACACACTTTTGTGTTTGTCTGGGTAAAACTCTAATGATGCTACATCCAGCTGGCTCTTGGATATAAAAGTGCTCCTCTAGCAAGGTGATACTGAAAAAAACTGTTGGTTGTTTTTTCAGCAACACACCACACACGCACAGCAGCTCTCAGAACATCTCAACATGCTTGTCTTTCCTTCTTGAGAAGACGATACTTTAAACAATGTCTCCTTCACAACACAACCAATGTCTCGCCCTGCCTCCTCCCTTACAACGGCTGTCCTCTCAGCTGCAAGAAATGCACATCCACTCCCCCAAATTTCCAAAAATACACACATTCTCCTTCCCAGCCCCTTACAATGCCTTGTCCTGACCTGTCTCCAGCCCTGACATACAGCCTCCTCCTCTGGAGCACACAGTCTGCTTCTGTGAGACAGCCGTGTGTGCCTTTTTATAAAGCTGCTTATTTTTGTAAACACATAGAATTACCTAAAACATTCAGTAAAAAGCATATTAAAACGTTGAGTATAGTATAGAATATCTCATATATGAAAATCTAAGACATGAATTGTACTTATTACAAAAACAAATATTGCGTTACTTCCCGTTGACCCAAATACAGAAAATACTGATTGAGCCACTGCTGGACAAATACGGCCAACCTACTGGCGTACAAACAATGTACTAGAAAATGGCATATTGATAGATTTTGTGCATGTTAACAATATATTTTCCTGTACTGTATCACACATCCTAGTTTTAAAACTGAGTAGCCTTTGACTACTTATATTTGTCAGTATATTGCCCATAAACAAAGTTGTTTGGCCAGTTTTTGAAGAAAGGGTAAACATGTTGAGTAAGTAATTTTCCCTAAAAAGGTTTTCCTTTCACTGAATACTTACAACAAAACAATACTCAGTGTGAAATGAAAAAACAACAGAACACCAAGTGATAAAAGGATTAGTGGCAAAGGATCTCCCTTTTTACACCCTTTCAGTAATTGTATTACATTAATAAACACAATTATAGTATCCGTTTTTTATAAATTCAAAATAACAATAACACATGGTATTCCCAGAATGCACCAATTTGGACCTGCATGCCTTTTTATGCTCAAACTATTTTCTGAATGCTGCAACATGAGCGGTGGTCGTCGCTAGGTGGCACTGTGTCTGTTTGGTAAAAAGTCCTCTCGGTTTCCCCCTTAATATACAGAGCTGTCTGATACAAAATACTCCAAATGCCCACTGTCCATAATGTCGGGAAAATGAAAATGTAGAGTTCTTATTTCACCAAAGAAAATATCCACGGTGGTCAATGGAGGAAGTATATTATATTTTGTATTCGCAGATGTTTACTTTATTTCATATAATGACTTGAAGTTGTTCTGTAAATCTAAGATTACCCCACGTAGGCCTACACACAATCTATGAGAATATTTTTAAAACATCTTTCTTTTTTGTTAGGTTATTTAAAATGTAACGAGGGAAAAATAATGTGAACGCCATGTCAGAATTACCAACAAGATCCAAATTATTTCAAAAAAAATGAACTGACTGACTGTGATATAAACACACTAACAGAAAGTGTAAGGAAGCAAGCTACAAACAATATTCAGGCACTTTCCGAATGACACAATAAGAATTAAAACATCTTAAACATGCATAACTATGGCATAGCATTTTAATATATCAGAAGGTGGGTTATTTTTCTTATGTTTACCAAGAATAGGGACTCGGCAATGAGGCTGTCTTATAAATTGAGACTTTTGTCTGAAACTCGCATAAACATAAATATGCTCTTTGCAATAATTGAATGTCTTGTCTTATTAGCCTATTGCACCACTATATCTTACACAGATAACTTCGGTCATTTTAGGCCTACAGCTAATTAACCCATTAGGTACATTTTCCTAATTTAGCCTAAGAATGTTCTATTTTAATAGCAAGAGAATGTTATTGATTATCGGAACTGAAGCCCAATACCATCCACTTGATTTAGTTCAGATGGTCTTTTAAGGAGGATTATTTTTCGCCGTTGGGATTCACATAAAACACGGGCGAGTTTGATTGGTCAGAGAAGCGTGAGTGATACACGTCTTATACCTTAATATTAATATAATGAATACCTTCATCACAACATCAATCCGATATTTTGGTTCACATTTCAGATATTTAGTAATTTCTCAGGCAGTATGATATCCACCTATTGAGATCAATGTAGAACTATTTAATTGTTCCATGTTGCATTTCTCACATACATATAATAACACATACTATCCAGCTTGTGAGTTTACATTAGAGATTGGCATCGACTGTCTCTGAATTATAAACCCAATTCGTAACTGGTTGCTCTTATATCCTTTCTTCAACAGCTTGTTAACTACTTGTTTTTTTTATTTAAATAAAGTCCTTGCAATACATGTTATTGCATTGGGTTGATACACTTCCACTTAATGAGTTGGTGCAATAACTGAACAAAATATTCATGGTTGAAGAGGACTAAAGCAAAAATACAAAACAGCAGAATTTGACTTTAAGCTCTGTTATTCAAATGGTGGATATGAGAGTTGCAGGATCGTTCCTCACCTCAATAATTCTGTGGTAGGCTACGATGAACAACAAAGGTATCCCTTTGGAAATAAATATAAATATCTTTAAGACCAGTTAAAAAGTTAGTGTGTTTTTTAATGGGACAAATACTGCGTAATCTATGTTGTTAAAAACATTATATTATGAGTGAAAGTCCTTTTTTAAGGTTTGATTTTTACTGAAGCTGTCATGGACCACCTTAAAACAGTTTGTCCCGCCCTCGAAGCTTTCTCAGGTCGTTCTGATTGGCTGAGCCCTCGTGGATGGAAGCGGCTGCAGAAATGCAAAACTTGTTGCTGGCTCCTTTGGACGCGTTGATCTCACACAGCGCCAAGCGGCACAGCAGAGTGTGAGTGTATCTGTGAATCGCTCCCAAGTGCACTCAGACCACACCAGACAACACTCGGTTAACGGAGGGACGCACACGTTAGGAGCGAAACGCATTGGAAGGACTTAAGGCAAAAGCGCTTCGCTGCAAGCCGCATGACGGGCAGCGGGTGAAGGATGCTGTCAAGCCGCTCAGCAGTAGTGGAGAGCGGGTAGTGCATGCCGCGCTGCTCCGGGATCAGTTCGTGTAAACGGACGCCCCGGCTCACCGGTTCCCGGTTTGGAGAGCCGTGTTTGTGGACTTTTCATCACACTGGACTTTTGGCTACGTGTCTTTTCAGTAGAGATTTTGAAGGACATAGGTGGGCTGTATTTATTTAAAGAACATTTCCCCCTCAAAGCTACATAGTTAGTTTTGACTTTACGGCACCACTTGGACTTTTTCCCCCTTGTTTCCAGCATGGGAGCTTATACAAAAAGTCGCTCCGGGACATTTGACTTTGGACTGGAATAATTAATTAGCTGAAAGAGAATTGCCATATTTTCGATCAGTCCAATTTTTGTTTGTTTGATAGACATTTGTTTTTGTGCCATATTCGCACCAAAGAAACAGACACACTTTGGAATATGGTAGGTCACTCATGAAGCAAATTTAATAACAGTGTTTTATATTTGTTTGCGTAATCAAAGAGAAAAACAATAGTAGTCAAGTGCACGCATAAATAAGACAGCAGATACACAGTTTAAGTGCGTATTTGGACACTGTCTGTCCTCTCTATACGCGTCTTTGGAGAAGTTGAAAAACAAAAACAATTGATTCGCAACCATTAGAACTTATCCTGTGATATTAGCATTTCATTTTTGATTAAGCGTTTGATCAGTAGATTCATACAAACATTTCAATAGTTAATTGTATTTTTTTTACTTTTTGCTCTTGGAGACACACAGAAAAAACAGACAGTGTGCCGATGTCTGGCAAACTGGCCGTCATGTGGGATTGATTGCAGGGGAGTATGTTTGGGCTGGAGCAGTTCGGTTCTCAGATTAATAGCAGAAACCCTGGCCAGTCGGAGAGAAACATAAACCACCCGAGACTGAACATGGGCTCCCATTATAAAAGCCCAGGTTTTCACGCTGGAGGCCCACCAGGAGCCGTGGAACCCGGCATGGGTCCTCTGAGCGAGCCGCAAATGCTCGGGCTCAATATGAACATTAACGGAGAGCAGTACGGGGGCTTTCACCCACGGGGCCACTCGGACATGCATGCAGGCGGTGGACTGCAGCAGCAGCAGCAGCAAGGACCCATGCATGGATTTTTTAACAACCAGCAACCTCATCAAGGACATCCTCATGGCCATCAACCTCACCCCCACCAACCTCACCCTCATTTCAGTGGGAATTTTGGAGGCCCAGAGCCAGGGTCATCTTGCCTGCATGGTGGCAGGCTAATGGGCTACAACAACAATGGCATGGGACCACAGCAGGGCTTTGGAGAAGGATTTGATCCTCTCTCTGAGGGACAGGCAGGGGATGGCTTTCCCCAGCAACAGCAGCAGCAACAGCCGCAGCAGCGGCCCGGTAACATGCCTGATTTTACGCATCACGGGCCCCCCAGTGGTAGCCATGCTGTCCCTGCTCCCTGTCTACCCCTGGACCAGTCCCCTAACAGAGCAGCATCCTTCCATGGTCTCCCATCCTCCTCATCCTCATCATCTGAGTCTCATGGCCTGGAGCCTCGGCGGATGCCCAACCAGGGAGCAGTAGAGGGATTAGAGTATAACTTTCCAAGTGAGCCTCCATCTGGACATTTTGATGTAAATGTATTTTCCCCATCAGAATCAGAATCTCAGTTACCCAATTTTGGTCCAGGAAGGCCAGTTCCAGGCGCTAATTTCCCAGGGAACCCTGGAATGCCACGGACACCAGGTATGCCCAGCACCTCTAAGGGACACCAGCCGCCACAGCCCCAGCAGCCTCAGCATGGAGTGTTTTTTGAGCGTTTTGGAAATGGCCGGAAGGTGCCCGTGGGAATGGAGCCGGGGGTCAATGCAAGACATCCTCTCATGCAGCAGCAACAACAGGCCGGCTTGATAGCCAGACAGAATTCATGCCCCCCTGGCCTCCCCCGACCCCCTCAGGCTGAGCCCGGCCCTACTAACCCTAACATTCTGGACGGAGGGGTCATGATGCCTGGCCAACACAACCAGTTTGAATATCCCATTCACAGACTGGAAAATAGAGGTCTGAACCCCTATGGGGACCCCATGTTTAATATGCAACAGCCAGCCCCTCCTCCCTCCCAACAACCCCCAAATCAGCGACTGCAACACTTTGACTCTCCTTATATGAACATGGCGAAAAGGCCAAGATTTGACTTTCCTAATGCACATGGCGGTGAAGGCTGGTGTGGTGCTATGGAAAACCACCTCTCTCCGTCGGCCTACCCCGGCCTGCCTGGAGAGTTCACCCCACCTGTGAGTGAAGGTTTCCCACCAGGTCCGCTGCAGCATCCAGGGCCTGAGCAGCAGTCTCTGCAGCAGCGGCAGAATGCAGCCATGATGATAAAACAGATGGCCTCTCGCAACCAGCAGCAGAGGATGAGGCAGCCCAGCCTGCAGCAGCTGGGCCACCACGGCGAAGTTCCTCCTGGCCCAATGGCTCACGGAGGCCCAGTCGGGAGCATGCCACAGCCCAACTTTGACAGGGAGAATGCTGGCAGAATGCCCAACATTGATGGACAAAATCCTCATGTAACTCAGGAGAACTCCTGGTTCCAAGGTTCCCACCCACCAGGGGAGATGATGTCACGGCGTATGGGTGGAGCGGGTAATGAATCAGGGCCCCACGACATGGGGCTACAGCAGAACGGGGCTGGAATGATGTTTAGGCCTGGCATGGGCATGCAAGAGCCCATGAGAATACAAGGAGATGGGCATGTACAGGCTCTCCATTCCCCGGGCATGCACTCACAATTCAGTGGGAACATGGGCAACCTCTCACAAATGCAGTCTCCAGGAGCAGGGACAGGGCATCCGAATGCAGCAGCGGAGAGGCGGCCAGCTGACTTCCCTGCACCTCCAATGGGAGCACAGCCAACGTTTCCCTATGGGGGGGTTAACCGTCAGGGGCCAGCCCACAGTGCTCCCCAGGGGGTGAACACCTCACCAGGGAGCTACCCTCCTCAGTCTGAGTTCCCCCCAGGCCAGCGGTCGTCTGTTAGTAAGCTTGGAGCCCTGTCCCTTGGGAACTTTAGCAAAACCAGCGCTAAAGACAGTGTTTTCGGCCAGAGCTGCCTGGCGGCCCTTTCCACAGCCTGCCAGAACATGATCGCTAGCCTAGGGGCCCCCAATCTTAACGTAACATTCAACAAGAAAAGCCAAAATGAGGGCAAGCGAAAACTGAGTCAGACAGAGCAGGACATTAATAGCAGCACATCTAATGGGACTGGCAGTGCTGGACCTGAATATTTTCAGAGCGGCACTTCCCAGAACAGCCAGATGCCTGGCACTGGGAATAGCAACTCCAAGCCTGTAAGTCAAAGCCAGACGGTGCAGGGGGAAGCCAGTGCCCTCTCCCCAAATTACAACATGGACGCTACCCCATGCAGTGAGGGGAAAGCAACAACAGGGAATGGGAGAGGGAGAGGAAGGAGAAAAAGAGACAGTGGACATGTGAGCCCTGTCATTTTTTTTTCTCCTGACAATGCTAACCCTGTTGTAAGTCCAGGCCAGCAGACCCCCTCTGCTGGCATTGGGGAGAGGGGTGGGGGCACGCCCCACGAGAAACACCTCCAATCACCGTCTTGGGGAAAAGGAGGCGACCTAATCTTGGGGGACCAGGCCGACCTTATGTCTTCTTTGGACAGTGGCATTCAAAGTGTCGCTAAGTCTGACAGTAGCTCACCACGGGTGGACTTTCCTGACGATGTCAGCACCCACTATGGTAACGAGGATGAGGTTTCCTCCAGCTCAGATGCAGGAGGGGCCTCAGCCACCAAGCCCAATCGCAGCCCTATGATCACCGGCTCACCCAAAATGCAGAGAACTGACCATGGGTTGATTAATGGACAAAAGCCCCTTGCCATGGGCATTAACAATCATACTACCTCGACACCAGACAGTTATGTACTTAATGCTGGTGGGGGCACAGGGGCCAATGGGCCGAGCCACCCGGGCACTCCTGGGGTGGAGCAGGTACGCACCCCATCCAGCACCTCTGGCCAGGATGAAATCCATCCTCTGGAGATTCTGCAGGCCCAGATCCAGCTCCAGCGGCAGCAGTTCAGTATCTCTGAGGACCAGCCCCTGGCTATCAAAAATGGCAAAAAGAATGGTGACTGTCCCTCACAGAACGGAGACAATGAGCTGGCAAGCTGCAGCCCGGATGCTGGGAAGGGCTCAATGGGCACTATTGACCTTGACACCCTCATGGCAGAGCAGCACGCCACCTGGTACGTGCCCAGTGACAAGGCCATGATGGACGGGTCAGAGGATGACAAGGCCATGGGACCATGGGAAAAGAATAAGAGCCAAAACAGCAGCAAAGAAGGTAAATAAATCATTCCTATATTTCACCCACTTCTCTCTCTCTCTCAAACTCTGTCTCTCACACTCATGCAACATAGGCTACATGATGTATTTTACTTTTAAAAATAGTTGATTTTATTTCTTAAATTGCTATTTATTTTTATCTGAAATGCAGTGTGACACCACATTCATAATAGATTAATTGCTCTGGTAATGCTTATAATATACAGGACCTTTTGTCTATCATATGCGCCCAGAAACAACCGTCTCTGTTTAACAAGGGTCTGTGAATTTTAGAGCTTTAGTGTATAGTAAGATAATACATTTAATGCTAGCGCCATTCAAGTTTTTAGAAGGAAAAAAACCGATTTCTGCGGTGTTTTTGTTTCTATAATGTGTCCGTGTTAAAAATGGGATTCAGAGTGAAGCAGTTTTAAATGCCTTCTTACTGAACTAAGTCTTCCTTGTGCCTTTACGACAATATAAATGTATACATTTCTTCATTGTATAGGAACTTCAAAAGAACAGCTCAAGTAAAGTAAACATTTCCTGTGGTTCTTTATCTCGGTTTTCAGGGTGAACAACTACATTGAGAAGATTAATAGCTTTTTGAGGATATGCGTTTGCGCAGCGGGGTTCCCCTCGCCTTGTTACGTGTTTGTTTTTGTTATTACCATGGGATAATACCGAGCTGGTGAAAGTGGATAGATTTTAGATTGGCAGCACAGGATTTCAAGGATTACATATCATTTTTAAAAGAATAGAGCCATTCACTTTCAATTTTATTTTCCGTGGGAAATAGTTAATTTGTAATTATGGTAATATTTTTAAGCATTTAGTTTAAAAGTGTAGTTAGATTATTGTTAAACATTTTGTAATTATCTATATGTTTTTGCAACATTATTTATTATATTTGTAATTGCTTCCTCGTGTAGTGTAAAAAATGTATTCCTTACAATGTCTTGCAATGCAAAGTTTGTTAAGGAAATATTTACAAATATTTTCGCCTAAAGGCACAGAGGCAGTTTTTCATCTTAACGGAGATATACATTTTGCAGTTGTTGGTAGATTAAAAGTAGTTTTATCTTAATATTTGTATGATGGGTCTTAAATCCAAATGCAGCTACTTTTACTGTTACGTTGCTGTTATAATATAATATAATTTTAAATATAATTTATTCTACTTCATTATTATTATTTTGTTCTTGTTTTTTTATATTAGGCTATGTTGTGTGCTTTCATAGTAGGTGAATAGAAAACAAATGGTATGCGTTGTAATGCATTACAATTGTATAATTAGTCTTTTTAGAATATATTTATTTTATTTCTTTATTCATTTATGTTTTATGTTTTTTTGTTATTTTACGTTTGCTTTTTTGCAAATATTTTCAAACCAAAGCAGTACACAGAAGAAATACCAACAGTCAGGGTTAAGCTATGATTTATAATAATGTGAAGGTACTTTATATAATTGAGGAAAGCGCCGAGCGCGTCTCGAGCGCCTCTTTGTTCTGATCAGTGCGGGTGCAAAACGGCGGGAGCGCGCACGGAGCGGAGTCTTGAGTCCAGGCGCATTGTTTATATGAGCGCAGGGTGTCGGGCGCTAATACCGTTACTTCTTAGAGCACTGTAACTTGCCATTTCCACCCGTGTAGCATGCTAATTTCTCCGTCACCCCTATTATAAATCCATAGAAAACTAACAAGCAGTGCACTTTTTAATTTGAGCCATGTGATCAGAACTATATGTTTCACTTTTTCCAGTCATTTATTTTTCTCATGATTTGTCTCCACTGGTCTCAGCTAAATCAGAAGACACATGACAGGATCATTGAATAGTGTGGCTTTTATGTTGCTATTTTTCCACCTATTGTCAAAAGTTTTATTTTAGTTCTACAATTAAAAACTATATTTATATAAAGGGGTGTCGAAAAAGAAAGAGAAAAACCCCACTGATGCCAGGAGATAAGTAACATCATCACTTTAGATATTGATTAATGAGGCTATTCTTTTGAGTCGGAAACCCAACACTGATAAGCAGTCAGCCACATGTCACCCTGTTACTCTATCTGTTTTTATTTCTCTGGAGCTGATAGCACTTTAAACAATATCAATTCATACAAATCAGTAGATATTTAATGCAGAATAGTCTTATTTCTGCTCTCATTTCCTGTCCTCTCTTTCCTTCCATCTCCTTGCTCCTTCTCTCCCCTCTCCTCTCCTCTCCTCGCTCAGCCCTCCCTGCATGGACACGAGGCATGCAGCTCTGGAGCGATCGATAGCTAGTTAGCACAAATCACGGCTCCTGACAGTTTCTCATTTGAGTGCTTCAGACAGCAAAGATGAAAAAAAGGGTGGAGGTGTATTTGGGAAGGGAGGGGGATTCGAGATTGAATCTGATGCTTAGGCTACACAGAAGGGAGCAAAATAACATAATAATTTAAGATAAGTCATAGCCCACAGTGTAGTTCCATAAGAGCAGCATCCCACAGGCTTTTCACACTGCAACAAAATATCCACCTCAGTCTACCATTAGGGAGATAATGTCAGTGACACTAATTTGAAATAAATCAGGCCAATTAATTGGAGCATTAGCATTAACTTAATGTAACGTGGTCAAGAAAATTGAGGATAATTTTATATAGTTAATTTATGTAATTCCAGCGACACCGAAAACGGTTTTTTTCCCACTTATAATACATTTTTTAACATAATTATCAACACATGATCTAACTAGTTGAGATTTTCCAATGGAAATATTCTGAACGGTTATTTTGGTCGGATATAAGAACGTTTGTTTTTGTATTGAAGTAGATTTGAATTTTGCTTGCAGGTAAAATGGTTCTAACATTCCAGTACATTTATATATGTCTGTTTCTGTCTCTCAGTAGAGCCGACATTATATAATATTAAATAACTAATACATTCAGTAATGATAGACCATAATTAATACATTGATTTTCACATACAAACGTAATATAAATGCCTAAATAAAAAATTCTATCTTAATCGAAAATGCATTTAAATTAAATGTTTAATGATAATAATATTGCAGAACTTTGACTTAAAGTAGAAGGAGAAATACATTTTCCAAAAATGCAAATAATATGAGCTTATTTGTTCCTGTTTAGACTTTTTCCTGTCAAATAATACATAACGTACATAATGCATATTTTTTTGTTAGTGTTTTTCACTTGAAAGGGAAGTTATCTGTAACTGCTAGATCATTTAATTTAAACCGGTGAATCATGGTGTAGCATGTACGTGATGTTTTGGAGGAGTTAGCTTCAGAGGAGTTAACTGCAGTGAAAGTTAAAGAGCTTGGAGGTCAAAGGTCAATGTGGTCGTATGAGGTGAATGTTTCCATCACTCCATGAAGTTTCACTGTGTGCGCAATGCAAAGTTGTGTGAAACTTTGCGAGTTGATTTTTTATCAGCGCTCTGTAAAAGAACGTCTACAGGAGTCACAAATATATATTTCAAAAAATAAATTCCATATTTAGCCAACCTCCCCTAGCCAATACAAGTTATACTCTGCTTATTTGTAGAGGAACTGTGAACCCTGTGCATCCCAGCCTCTCTGTGCTCCCTGTGTGCCTGTTTAAAGTGATGCTTGCTGCAGTAATGGCCCCCTTTGGACCCCACATTTGGCATCCTCTCTCTGTGACAGCATGTAGCTCAAGTTTTCCACCGAGGCGCAGTGATACCTGCAACTGTAAGCTCATGGCCTGCAGAGTCTTGTGTGCAACACGGCATCATGTCCTCCCATGGAGGCATGTAGTAGCACGCGAGCAACTCTCCTTGTACGGTGTCAGTTAATATTTGTTTCCCCTTTTTGTGTTTCTTTTACACTCTTCCTCTTCCTTTCTCTTCTATATATCTTAGCCAGAAGCCGACCGTTCATTTGGAAACTCATGCACAGTCGTGATAACAGGCAACCAGCAGGCGTAGGAAGTGATTCAGTTATTTGTATTTTAACTTTTGCCACACACACTGCTGACTTCTTTTTTTATCAGCACAGCTAAAACACTTCACAGTTGACCTTGTGGAATAGTTTCACTCTTCACTCTCAATAATCAGCCCTTAAACAGCTCTAATCATGATCAAATCTCTTTCACTCCGACTTTGACAGGTTTGAAAAGAGGGAACTTGCATCTTATCACACCTACTAGAAAGCACTTAAATCCACTGAAAGAGCCGTATTGATATTTCACCACGGAGAACAATCCTGTGAGACTACCTGGCTTTGACATTTCCGTATGACAACAACCCCACAAATCACACCAGTAATTTCTATTTCCTTTTTCAAAAAAAAGAAGAAAGTGATTGGCACATGCCTGAATGTGAGGAAAAACAGCTTGGGGCAGTTTATGTTCTTTACCTGTCATTACAAGGTGTTTCATATTGACTTTTTACAACAACACACATTCACCAAGCACCTCGCACACTCCTGTACAGCAGTAATGATAATCACTATGATAATCATAGCAATTAGCCTTCGTAATAATGTTTCCAGAAGTCATAATTCATCCTCAGGCAACTCCTGTAAGTCTTGGTTATTGACATGTTCATGGGAGGGCTTCAAAGAACAGTTAGGGTATGTCTATAAACACAGATTTCTGCAAAATTAAGGACGTGATTGTGTCTTTCTGAACAAAACTATCCCTGATGTGGACTAGAAAATGAATGTAATCGTGTTCTATTTCTGCTTTCGCTGTTGTATGCATCTGTGTGTGTGCTGGTGTGCACGTGAGTGGTTGGCGAAGGGCAGGTTTGTAGACACTGCAACTTGATAGTGTGGATTTGTAAGGTGTAGACATAAAGTTTGATTTATTTAGACTAGGTGTCAGGCTCACGGCTTCAGCCCCCGATCTCAGGTGTCTCGCTCGGTGGAACACGCTCCTTTAATTCTAATGTGTTGAAAATATTTAAGAGTATTCACTTGACTTGTAAATAGCACAGGACTGAAAAGCGCCCATCATGCATTTAAAGCTTTTGGAATTTAATACAGCGTGTGTGTGTGTGCGTGGA